TTGCCAGCACTTGATAAAAGTGACATTTTAACTTCAGCCATTCTGATAGGCACATAAGGGTGTAGTGTTCTATGGGTGTGCAGTACAGATTTTTCACTCTAATTTTTTTAAGGTTTTATGTACTTACATATTTTTAGAGAGAGAGGAAGGAGGGAGTAAGAGAGAGAGGAATATCAATGTGTGGTTGCCTCTCACATGCTCCCCATTGGAAACTTGGCCCACAACCCAAGCACGTGCCCTGACCAGGAATTTAACTGATGACCCTTTGGTTCACAGGCTGGCACTCAATCCACTGAGCCACATCAGCCAGGACTAATTGTAAATTTTTAGTTTTTCAAATGATCATACTGTAAAATATATGTGTTTTCCTTTTTATCTCATCATAAACTGATTCAGTGTTTACTAACTTGCTATTTCATTTCCATCTTTGTGTGTTTTTCATTTTTTTCTTGTAATTGATTTCTAGTTTCATGCCTTTGTGGTCAAAGAAGGTGCTTGATATGAGTTCAGTTTTCTCAAATGTGTTGAGACACATTTTTTTGTGGCATAACATGTTCCATCCTGGACTTTGTTCCATTCCTTGGAAAAAATGTATAATCACTTTTTGTGTAAGGCATGTTCTTCAAATATTCATTAAATTAATCAGGTCTAGTGTGTCATTTAAGGATGCCTAGATTTTTCTTTGGTGGGGAAAAATTTTGATTCTGGAAGATCCATCCATCGATGTCAATGGAGTGGGAAACCCCCTACTATGACTGTATTACTGTCAATCTCTACCTTTATGTTTATCAAGATTCGCTTTATATATTTTGGGGTTCCTATGTTGGGTGCATTGGTGTTTATAAGGGTTATATTATCTAGTTTCACTCATCCCTTCATTGCTATGTCATGTCCTTCTGTGTCCACTATTACTGCCTTTGCTTTAAAGTCTATGTTGTCAGATGTAAGTATTGCTACTTCAGCTTTTTCTCCATGTTCTTCTTCCACCCCCTTTCCTTTCAGTCTCTGTGTGTCTTTCAATTTGAAGTAGTTCTCTCATAGACAAAATATATATGGGTAGTGTCTTCTTATCCATTCAGCTGCACTGTGTCTTTAAGGGTGTATTTAATCCATTCACATTTGAAGTGACTACTGGTAGGTACATATTTATTGCCATTTTATTATACATACTTCTGTTCCTCTTTTTATTTTTCTTTCTACCTTAGAAAAGTTTCTTTAACACTCCTTCAGTTTTAAATAAGAGCCTTGCCTTATAGCATATTCCTGCTTGTCTATGGTATGTTTACACAGTGGAATACTATTTGGTCATAAAAGAAAAAAAGGAAATGTTACCTTTTGTGACAGCATGGACGGACCTGGAGATTATTATGCTAAGTAAAATAAGCCAGTGAGAGAAAAACAAATATGATATGATCTCACTTATATGTGGAACCTAGTGAACAAAATAATGATACACAAAACAAATACAGGTATGCAAACATGGAAAAGACTGACAGCTGTCAGATAGAAGGGACATTGGGGAACTGGATGAAAGAAGGTGTAGGCATTAAGAAAAAAATGCACACACACACACACACACACACACACACACACGAGTATACATACAGAGTCCACCAGAAATAATGCCTGCTTCAGTGTGGTTGGTAGGGTAATAATATGTGTGTAATAATTTATAGTTTTAATTTGATCATTTCACCTAAAATGTTATATGGTATGCTTGTGATATTGTTTGTTGTATTACAGAGTAACATGCTTAGGATTTTGTAATAAAATATTTTTTGTAATAAAAAAGGGGTGTTATTTTGTGCTGGACCCTGTATATGTAACAGAAAGACAGACAACAGAGCTGGTGATAAGCAGAGGAAAAGCAGGTGGAGATTAGGTGGAGGTGGGCAAGAAGCGGGGGACTAGGGACAGAAAGAGACTTTGCTTGCAGAGATGTGCCAACAACACAGTGTGCAGGATGATGTTTTATTGAGTGATACACTTGAAACTATGGCTTTGTGAACCATGTGACCCCAGTAGTTTCAGCTGAAAAAAGTTGTTGCCCAGACCATAAGCTCTATATCATTCCTGTGTATACTGCCATACTTCTTGCTCTAGCTCCTCACTACATGGGGTCATCAGGTTGTCCAGCAGCCTGTGCAGGCACACAACCCTGATGCTGTTGAGATTATGGGTATCCTGCTGAGCAGCAGTAGTAGCTGCAAGTGCTCTGCGCACTTAGTGACAACTCGGCTGGATGGTAGGAGCATGGAATTTGGTACCTCGCACGTCTATTGAATTCCTGTGAAAGTCATCCTAGAACAGCTTCCCGGGACTTTAATCACATGTCTCTGACTGAATCCTCACATATCACTCTTTGTTAATTCCTTTGGCCTTCCCATACTTGAAAAAATTGTTTCTTAGTGATAGGGGACTCAAAGAGTTGGAAAATTTTAGTTTAAAGTAAATAGTTATAAGCTTAATAAGTAATGTACATGTCAAAGCTTTTGTTTCAGAAACTACAGATAAGGCCCATCCTGGCTCCTAGGAAAACAGCCAACCTCCAGGGGCACCACTAAAGATACTGCCTGAGGACATGTTGAAGCATCTGGGCCATTGTGTTCCAGGGAGACAGAGGACCTCCCACTCCTGAGAACAGCTGACTGCCAGGGACAAGAATGCTGCAGTTTCTTTCAAGTAATTCTTCTCCCTGAATTTCAACTCCCCCCCCTCACCATACCTTATTTATTCCCTGTTATAAAAACATTGGCCTGGAAAGAAAATGTAAGACAGTTTGTTTTAGGGTATAACCCTGACCATCTGAATAAAGCACCCATAAAGATTCAGTCTCTGTGTTTATTGGGTTTGGAAAGTGACAGGCACCAGGAGCTCCAGTGTCTTTTCTGGTTTCATTAGGAACTGAGTGAGACAACTGAGATTGATTAGGAACACCTTTCCCTTTTGCAAAACAGAAAGCTAATTTTTCATATTTAATTTTGATAGCAACTAATTGTTTTTAAATTAATGTGGTTATTATTTGTTAACTCTGCTTCATCTCAGTTTTCTCCCTGGGTGTGTGGCTCAGAGCCATCTCCTTCTGAGTAAGCAGCGCTTCCTTCATCACTCATCCACACTCAGCACAGTCTAGGAATCCCACCTTGTCTCCACTCCAGAGCCTCTGGGGAATGGCCCTTTCTTTTATAGGTGCCGACTGAATCTTGGAGGCTTGGGGCCTTAACTATGTATTTCCCTCTCTTTTGTACACTCTCAACATATTTTCCTATAGCAGACTTTCCTTAGACCTTCTTAATCATCCCTTCTGTAGAGTCCCATACAGAATATTTAAAATAAAACATAACATTATACTGCAATGTACAAATTGAGAAACATTCTATTCAGGCAGTGTCAAATGACCTGAAAGGCTCACCCTGTGTCAGTTGTGGTGTTTTGAGGGTTTTGGGTTTTGGGCTTTTTTTTTTTTTTTTTTTGCTAATTAAAATAACATTTCTCGGACTTGTGTCTTTTTCATAAATCATACCACTACTTCAGAAGATGTTTGTATTTTCCCTCATAATGCACTTGCCTCACCATTAAAAGGGCCAGACACCCTGAGCAACACAAATTTGTTTAGCGCATTTAGTATCTGTGCAGTATTTAATATTCCTCATTCCTCAAAAAATGAAAAACCATTTCATTCATTGTTCATTTTTCCTCCTTGTAAATTTGTTATGTGCTTGGCCCAGTGCCTGGTGCTGGTAATCTCGAATCCTGTAGCCATATGGGGATAAATGTTTGATCAAGGCATAACAGGATTACAGTTGAGGAAAGAAGTATGTCTCCATTCCTTGGAGGTCTGAGAAAAAGTTGTCCTTGAACCATATCTCAGACATTGAGAAACGGGTAGTCATTTCTGAGAAATGGAAATTGCTAGAGGTAGAGGACTCAAGATGTCCAAATAGGTGGAGAGGGGAGGAACATGAATGAGACTGAAAGGTATTCTGGGAACTTATGATCTTCCCCTAAACTCAAGTAATCTATTGAAAACAGAGGCATGAGCCCCAAAGCAGCGAATTTGGAGACAAGCCACCCCACCCCACCACACACAGGCATACAGAGTTTAAAATGGTTTTATAACCAGAAACACAATTTGCAAAGAGAAGTCGAGAGCAAGCAGCCTGGAGCAGATGTTAATCACCTTTATCGCAGACCATGGCGTCATGGTCACAGCCTCGGGGGATGAGAAGGTCGGTGCCTGGGGGACAAAGCTGGCATCTAGATGTCATTACAGGGAGGAACTTTGCATTTCGACTGACTTTGAAGCCTTTTAGTTCCTTGCTGTTGGGGAAACTGAGCCTGAAGAGGTTTAGGTTTATTTTAAAGTCAGAGAGTGAAGGTCAGTCTTCCACTTCAGCTGCCTAACCACCCTGCCCCCGCCCCTTCCCCGTGTGACTCAGCCAGGGCCTCTCGAGGACATGGCCCTGACGTCCTTCCTCCATGCTCCCAGATTTACCGAAATAGCCACAGGTATTGTAATCACTTGTTACGTGAACTCGGTTCACTGTAGCCTGACTAAGCTGTGCTTGTCTTCACACTCCCAGTGCCCGGCACAAACCTGGGCTCACGCTGGATGCTCCATTGATATTCCCTGAATAAATGAAGCTTGTGTTTCCGTGAAGGAAAAAAGATATAACCCCTCCCCACATGTTCACGCAAAAATGTAGGTGGACCAGTGGGAGTTGAGTTCTTGAAAGGACACGGAAATACACCCACAGGGCAGATATACAACCAACAGGACACAAAGGGTGCGCCAGAGTCATAGCCGCAGTAGGACACGCACACGGCATTGTCTTCCTGGTCCCGTGAACTCTCGCGTGAGTTCCTAGCAGGTGGCACGGCTGAGTGGTGTCCGTTGGCCGTACCCATAAGCACTCGGGGCTGAGCCAGTGCTGGGTGGGAACCTTCACTTTGACAGGGGGCGTGTCCGTGGCACGTTTTTTTTGAGTTTCCTACAGGCCATGGGAGTGATAAGCAGTCCGATGCCTTGGTGGCGCCGGGGAAGACATGCCCCAGAGAAGCTAGGAGCCTGTGGGGAGGAGGAGTAGGTGGTTGGGGCAGTCATGGCAACGATTGACGAGGTGGAGAAAGAGAATGAAGAGGCCGGACCCTCCACCAGTCAGGGCGGCTTGAAACGGAAAACGGAATCAGGAAGTTCTCACACAGAAGGACGCCTCCGAAAACACGCCAGAGGCACTTCACCTTCCATTTTTGAGAAATTCTTTCTAACAGGAGAAGGCAGCGATGTGCAGATCCGCGCACTAGGGGAGGTGTGGAACTTGCATAAAGCCTACTTGTGCCAGTGTGGCTACTTCGCGAGCATGTTCAGTGGTGCGTGGAGGGAAGCAACCATGAATACCATAGACTTGCAGATGCCCGATGAGAACATTGACAGCGAGGCCCTGCATGAGGTTTTAGGATCCCTGTACCAAATCCCCGTGTACATTCCACCTAGACGTGTTGTGTCCATCCTGGCCACGGCCAGCATGCTGCAGCTGGATGAGCTGATTCAGCAGTGCGGGGAGGTCATGGAGGAGACTGTCACTGCCTACACCGTATGCAGCTACTACTACTCTGCTGAGAGCTACGGCCTCCCAAACATCAGGACCATATGCTTCCAGTGGCTGCTGGACAATCTGATGACTCACCACTGTGAGGAGCTATTGTTGCGGCAAGTCAGCCCAGATATCATGAAAGAGCTCATTGCCTCTTCAGAGCTCTTAGTGATGGAAGTGGAGATGGATGTGTACACCATGCTGAAAAAGTGGGTGTACTTGCAGCTGCAGCCGGAATGGAGCGGCTCCCGCAGAGCCTTATTGACTGACGCCAACCTGTGGTTTGCCAGGTCCAAGAGGGAGTCAGGAAGCACCCCTTTCCTGGAAACCCAGGAGGGCAGAGCCTTCGTGCCAGTGTTCCAGCATCTGCGACTGGCCTACATCATCTGTGACCTGCAGTCAGCACACATCATTGACCAGGATGCACTGATCCCGGCCACATGGCTGACCCCAGTATACAAAGAACAGCAGCTTGCCCTGGTCCAGGCCAAGGAAATCAAACGGGTTGGGCTAACTGACATTCATGTGCCTAACTTCCCTGAGTATAGCATGAGATGCGGGCACCACCTTCTGAAAGAGGAGCGGTGCAGGTGGCTGTGGGCCATCCTCAACTTTGACTGGGATCTGGTGGTGTGCTACGCCAACCGGCGCATCATCTTCAAACGCAGCGCCAAGAACAAGTCCCATGGCCTTGGGATCAGCGTACTGTGGCAGAGAAAGGTCACTTTTCGCCTGTGTGTGGTTTCCTTGAACACCACTGGAAGAGCCACCTTCAGGAAGAGCACAGAATACCAGGTGCTTTCCCTAGGAAGAGATGAAGACCTGGAGGTAGTAAACCTGGAGAACCAAGATGTGGTCTTCCCCATATATGTGGCCTGTAACTTCCTGTACGTCCCCAGAGAGGGGTGTGGTCCAGAGTGAGAACCTTTGCAAAGCTCAGAGAGCTGAACTGCTCTTCCCTGGGCACAGCGACACCAGTTTGATCAAGGTGCCAGTTCCCTCTTTGGGATCAACTGGCCTTGCCCATCTCTCGTGACCAACTCTGTCAGAGGTTTTGTTTGTAATGTTTGTAATGTTTGAGACTGTTTACCGGCACCTAGGAAGAAGATGCACTTCGAAGCCCCCAAATACCTCCAGAACTTATTCATGCTGCTCATGTGGCAACTCCTTCTCCTGGTTTAAGATACATCAACCCCCCTTCCTGACCCCCCCATCATTTCTGAGAAACAAAGACCAATTGACTTTACAGAGAAACTCTGAGCCTACCTACTCTACTAGTCTTAGTTTAACTCTTTGCCTTTAGTTTGATTAAATAAATGTTAAAGGAATACTTTGACTTTTCTTTGATTTGGTGTGAGTAGAGCTGCCCTGCCCCACTCATGACCACCACTATCATAATTGTTTTCCCTTCCTATTTCCTGCCATGAGTGCAGTAGTTGCTTTCCATGGTCTCTCCCTCTTCCAGCCTCTGCTGATGACCTTCCTTTTTTTGTTCTCCAACCAAGGCGTGTCTTGTTAAGTTTTTTTTTTTTTAGGAACTTCCACAGTTTACCATGATGGCTGAAGCAGTTTATACTACCACCAACAGGTGGAAATGTTTGCTTTGCTCCACATCCTCACCCACACTTGCTATCTCTAATCTTGTTGATAATAACAACTTTTACAAGTATTAGGTGATAGCTCATTGTGAGTTTTGATTTGCATTTCCCTGATGGTTAGTCATGTTGGGCACCTTTTCATGTACCTGTTAACCATTTTCCTATTTAGGGGGAAATGTGTCCATTTAGTTCCTCTGCCCATTTTTAAACCTACCACTTCTTTTCATTGTTGTTATTGGGTTGTATGAGTTCTTTTCAAATTTTTGATGTTAATCTATTTTTCATACATGGTTTGCAAATATCTCATTTTGTAGGGTTTATTTTCAGCGCAGAATCTTTCAAGGCTGATATTGTCCTACTAGTTGACTGTTTTCTCTGGTTGTCTATGCTTTTGTTGTCGTATTGAAAAATCATCACCAGAACCAATGCTGAGGAGTTTCTGCCATATATTTTCTTCTAGGGGTTTTACAATATCGGGTCTTACATTTAAGACTTTGATCCATTTCAAGCTAATTTTTGTGACTAGTGTAAGACTGGGGTCTGGTTTCCTTCTTCACATGTGGCAATGCCACTTTCCCAACACCATTTTTTGAAGAGACTATCCTTTCCCCATCATGATGTCCTTGGCTGCCTCATCAAATAGTTGACTGTGTATGTGAGGGCTTCATTCTGGGTTCTCTCTTCTGTTCCTTTGGTCTATGTGCCCATCTTTATGCCAATATTATACTCTTTTCAATACTATTGCTTTTGTAGTATAGCCTGCAATCAGGCAGTGTGAGGCTTCTGGTTTTGTTTTTCTTTCTCATGATTACTTTGACTATTCAGGGGTTTTGTGGTTTTATATAAATTTCAGGATTCTTTTTTTATTTCTGTGAAAATTTTATTGGAATTCTCATAGGTACTTTATTCAATCTATAGGTGGTTTTCAGTACCATGAGTGTTTTCATGATACTGTGTCTGTCAATGCATGAAAATAGAATGCCCTTTTATTTGTTGGTGCCCTATTAGATTTTTTCATCAAAGAATTATACGTTTCATTGTACAGATCATCCATCTACTTCCTTGGTTAAGTTATTCCTAGATAGTTAACTGTTTTTTATTGTGATAGGGTTTTTTAAAAAAGATATTTTTTTAGAGGGGAAGGGAGGGACAAAAAGAGGGAGAGAAACATCAATGTGTGGTTGCCTCTTAACATGCCCCCCACGGGGACCTGGCTCACAGCCCAGGCATGTGCCCTGACTGGGAATTGAACCGGCAACCCTTTGGTTCCCAGTCCAGTGCTCAATTTACTGAGCTACACCATCCAGGGTGGGTTTGGTTTTTATTTATTTCTCAGCTGTCTCACATTTAAAGTATAAGAAAGCAATTGTTTTTCACCTGTTGATTTTACATCCTGAAAATTTACTGAATTCATTGATTAGATCCAAGAGCTTTTTAGGTGAATCTTTGGGTCTTTTCTTTATATGAGATCCCATCACCTGAAAATAAGGACAACTTTTACTTTCTGATTTGAATGCCTTTTATTTCTTTTTCTTGCCTGGTTTCTCTATACAGAATGTGAAATACTATATTGAATAAGAGGTGCGTGAGCAAGCACTCTAATCTTGTTCCTGATCTTAGAGAAAAAGCTTTCTATTTTTTGCTGTTGAGTGTAATATTAGCTGTGGCTTTGTTATATATGGCCTTTATTATATTCATGTATATTCCTTCTATACCCAATCTGGTGAAGTTTTTTTTTTTTTTAAATCAATAAACTGTATTGTATTTTTCAAAACCGTTTCCTGTATCTATTGAGGTGATTACATGCTTTTTATCATTCTTATATTAGTGTGATGCATATTTATTGATAATGTGGTATATATTTATTGATATTCATCAGTTAGTTGAACCATTCTTACATCTCACGGATAAATTTCACTGACCGTATTTTTCAGACCATAAGATGCACCTAGAGTTTAGAGGAGGAAAATGGGAAAAAATTGAAGCAAAAAAAGTGGCAAAATATTTAATAATATAAATAACATAATATTTCACCAATGTAAATGTAAAGCCACATTTGGACTATAAGACGTACCCCCATTTCCTCCTAAATTTGGGGGGATGCATCTTATAGTCCAAAAAATATGGTAGTCATGGTATAAACGTTTTAATGACTCTAACAATTTGGTTTTCTAATATTTTGTTGAGAATCTTTGCATCTACGTTTCTCAGGCATATTAGTCTACAGTTTTCTTTACTTGTAGTGCCCTTATCTGGTTTTGGTATCAGGGTAATGCTCTCTTGTAAAGAGACTTTGAAAATATCTCCTTCTCTTCAAGCTTTTGGAAGAGTTGAGAAAAAGTGGCATTAATGTTTCTTTTAATGTTGTTAAAATTCACCAGTGAAGCCATCTATTCCTGGAGGTTTCTCTTTTGGGTGGTTTTGATTAGTGATTCAATCTCCTTATCATTATTGGTCTGCTTAGACTTTGTATTTCTTCATGGTTCAGTCTAGTAGGAGGGATGACTCTAGGAACTTATCTATTTCTTCCACATAATCTAATTTGTTGGTGTATAAATGTTCATAGTAGTCTCTTATGATACCATGCATTTCTGTAGTGTCAGTTGTAATTTCTCCTCTTTCATTTCTGATTTTATTTGTCTCCCTTTTTTCTTAGTTTGTCTTGCTAAAGGCCTCTCACTTGTTTATTTTTTTGACTACCCAGCTCTTAGTTTCATTGATACTTTCTATTGTTTTTCTGGTCTCTATTTTATTTACATCCACCCTGATCTTTATTATTTGATTTCTTCTGCTAACTTTGGCTTTAATGTATTCTTGGTTTTCTAGTTACTTAAAATGTAAAAGTTAGGTTGATTGCTTGTGAGCTTTCTCATTTCTTAATATATGTATTTATGACTATAAACTTTCCTCTCAGTACTGCTTTTACAGCATCCCATAAGTTTTAGCATATTGTGTTTCCATTTTAAATTATTTGAGATAATCTGTGATTTCCCTTTCTGTTCTTGTTTGATAAAGTTCAGGTGTGTGTTGTTGTTTCCACATATTTATAGTTTATTCAATTTCCTCATAATGATATCTAGTTTCCTAACACTGGTGGAAAGATACTTGTTACAATTTCAATAAGTGAGATAAGCCAGTCAGAGAAAGCCAAGTACTATATAACCTCACTTACATGTGGAATCTAATGAACAGAATAAAGTGATGAACAAAACAGAACAGAGGCATGGGTACATGGAACAGACTATAGATCTCAGAGGGGAGTGGGGGAGGGGGACTGGATGAAAAAAGGTGAAGGGATTAGCCAAAGAACATATATACATGGCCCATAGACACAGACAACAGTGTGGTGATGGCCAGATGGAAGGGGACGTGGGGGGGGTGGGGGAAGTGGGCAACATTGGTTGGGAATAGGGACATATATAATAGTGTAAACAATAACAATAAAGTAAAAAACAACCTCAGTGTGGCAATTACCTGAGGGAAAGGGCTTTGGGGGAAAATAGAGCGTATGGGGGTATAAATGGTGATGGAATGAGACTTGAGTTTGGGGGGGGTCAACACACAATAAATATACAGATGATGTATTATAGACTTATACACCTGAAACCTATACAGTTTTATTAACCAATGTCACCCCAATAAATTCCATTAGGAATCTAATGGATAAACTGAACTAACAAGGAAGCTAGAGACAGACTCATAGAGAGCAGGATGATAGCTATAGGTGGTTAGGGGGTGGAGGAGTCAAACTAAAAGGAAAATAGACTCATGGACATGGTCAACAGTGTGGTGATTGTTGGGGGAGGTGGTATATCGGGATATGTGGTAATGAAAAAATACAATTAAATAAATAAGTAAAAAAGATAAAATAAATAATAAAAATAAAAACAAAATTCTCTGAGGCCTGTTATGGGTCCTATCGTATGTTCTATTCTGGATAATGTTCCATGTGCACTGGAGTAGAATGTGTATTCTGCTCTTGTCAGATGGAATGTCCTATGGATGTGCGTTAGGTCTGTTCTGTCTACACGTCTGAACTCAGCAGGCCTGTACTGGCCAAGTGATTCAACAGGATGGCAGGGAAGGGCACTGGCTTTGCACTCAAGGTGAGGAAGACCAGTCCCCTTTCCAACACCACACAGTTTAGTCACTGTATGAGTCTCTGCCAAGAGTCTCCAAAGAAAAAGAGCACCCTAAACGTCACTGTGGGGTGCAGCCAGCAGACCCCTCCACAGGACCAGAGCACAGCAGTGGCCTCACCAGCAGTCAGCAGACTGAGCAGTGCACTCCCAGGCTGGTACTGCAACAATAGGAGTGCTTGTA